TGAAAAAATCACTAGAAGTCAATTGCAAAAGGCAACATCCTGTGACCATATCTCTAAAACCATCAAACAGTTTTTTATCTGTTTATCCCAGGTCCTTGAGAAGGGTTAAGGTTAGATGGATAAAAATGCCAAATCCAGTCTAAACATATGGCTGACCATATGACAAACCAAAATAATATCCTCTTTCATGTCTATGATTTTTAAAGGGAAATTTCCACATTTCAAGATTCTAAAGTTTACAATCTTTGCCGTTATCCTAAGAATCCTGAGTCTTTCTTTCTGGCATCAAATAAAAGTATAACTTTGGGCACAGAAATTCAACCCAACACATTACATTCAAGTCATGGCCAGGATTGGGCTGTCTAAGCCAAAACTTTTTTAAACCTAAATTAAGTCACCCTTTGAACAGATCCAGATCTCAGTTGAAATATGCCTTATCTGAGACATTTTTCAGCGCAGATAGTTGAACAAAGGAGGAGGAGGAAGATGGCTAGAAAGTGACAGTTCTCCCACAGATTTTCACACACACCCCCAACAGAACAACCACGGGGTGTTTCCTGGGTTATCATCTTTTCAGAAGTGTTTCCCTACTTCCTTCTCAGCCAGCTAGAGAGACATACGCCTTTTAGAATGCCATCACGGGGTGCTCTGTCAGAAGGCCAGCCATGTGACAGGTGCCGAGCGATGATGCTAGGAGGGCTTACTGGGTAACAAAGGTCAGGACAGGCTTGGATTTCCCAGGCTACTGCTTTTGTTCAGAATCACTCATTCAGTGGAATACATTAAGGATGGAACAAAAGCAAGAGGTCCCTGGAGGAATGGAAGCTAACTTCTGCAACCACCTCTCACGTGTTCCTGCTGCTGGGGAGGTGGATTACTCCCAGTCATTGCATCCCTGCCTGTCTTTATTGGAATGAAAACACATGAGCAAAGAGTGTTTACAAAGAAGCATTCCCCCTCACTCTCACACACACACACACTTCTTATTGTCTCTATATCCATTAGGTGAGTCCCCTCCACTAGCAGTCTTTGGCCCAAGAAGGTAAGCCCAGGCTGAGAAGCAGCCATCTGTCACTGGCTATAGAGCCAAGTCCAGGAGGGAGGGTGCCTGCCTATGGAACATCCCAGGGAGTTTCCAGAAACAGACTTACAGGAGAACAAAGAATCTAGTATTTAGACCTTAGTTGCTCATCTGACCAGCTAACCTCATTCTTTCAAGGGGAATAGACCCTCTTTAAAGGTACGTTTAAGAGCCTGTCATGGGAAGGGAGTAGAAACTGCACTATTAAATATATACAGATCCCTTATGGATGCTATCTCTGATTTTTAAGCCCCAATGGCAAAAATGAACCCTGGTGATCTTCATAGAAAATTGTGTTCTACAATCCTGGTTATTTTATTAGATTTATATGTTATGCAATACTCAAGCTAGCCTACAACAATTAAAAAGAAATATATAAAACATAAAACAAGACAATGCAATTAACTTAAGATCAGTACATGATAGTTTTTGGCATTCTCTTTAAAACTGGGAAAGGGGACCAAAGACAACTCCTTGGGGATGCATTCCATAGCCTGGGAACCACAAGAGATGCCCTCTCCCATGTGCCAGAAAGGACCTCTTTGTTGATATAAGTGACTGGCCACTTCAAAATGGGAATGAAGCTTCCCAGTATCCCTCCAATAGCTGTAGATGTGTACATTATTATTTTAATATTCCATTTCATCTTTTTGTTATACACAGCAGTCCTTTTCCACTGTTATCTATGTGAGGTATACAGAACTAAAAGGAACTTTGTGGCCCAAAGTCACCTAGCAAGCTTCCTCATTTGAAGGTGGACTTAAAAGACTGATGTCTCCAACCTAGTTCCTAGGTCTAGCTTAAAAGGCCTATTGTCCTTTGCCAAACATTGCCAAGTTATTACATAAATATGTTCTTGTTTACCTTGTAGCCCAGGTGATGGGTATACGATGAGTAGCATAGACTCTGAAGGAGAGAGGACAGGAAAGCAGTCGGGCCTCTTGGGAGAATGAATGCTTTCTATTCCCATGTACCACTGTCTGGAAGTCTGCATTGAAGGTACTACAATAGAGCTCCACCAGATCCAAAATAGAGGCTGTCAAAGCTTCTACAATTTTCTCTGTTGGAGAGAGGAATCTATTTAAATATTGTGAGAATTGAGAATGAATTCTAGAATTCAATTTTAAGTGCCCATCAAAAATATGTCCCTGTGGAGCTTATACATATGGCAAACATTTTAACCACAGTGATGTTGTCCTATAAGAGGTGCTCATCCATTATGGAGTTTCCCAGTTCTAAATTCCCAGGTATAAGACTTATTTTTTGGTTCATTGTGCTGTAAACAAAATATAATTTGCAAGTTTTGCAAAAATTGCTTAAAAATTAAAACCTGAAATATTTGGAAATAATAAATACAATATCTACTTGCTTACTTGTATATCATGGTTTGTTTTTGATTTAGCATGTCTGAATCCTGTCATTTATGAAGGGTGTTTGTTTATTGCTTAATGTTTAAGCAAACTCAGCCAAGTCTTTTGGGCAAAGCTGATTAAAGAAACCATGTCTTATCAGAGTGTATGAACTCAGTTTAGGTGTACTGTAGCATGTTACTCATTTTGACTCCTGGTTCATCTTTACCCAAATCATGCCTTCCAGAAGACAATTTCTAATATCTTAAGTAATGCATCCTAATCACGTGTTGTGAAAAGAGGCTGCCTTCTTTTCTACAAGTAATGTTTGACTAATGTCCATATTATCACTTAACATCTATATAAAAATCAGTTTTGCTAGGCCAAAAAAAATAAAACAAACAAACAAACAAGAAAACCCAAAGCAAGGACCATGCCAAATTCTTCAGCACTGAACTGAACACTTCTCTTTTCTTCCCTGTAATGCTCCTTTTCTATAAAGCTGTGATGTGTCTACTGTACAAAACATGCTGATAGTCATATAGCTTGCTCTATGAGTGAAAACTGAATTTATTTCAATTGCGAAAACGGGTAGAAAAAGGTTTAACCAAAATCACATTATCACTGCTTTTGATTTTTTTTAAAAAAAAACTTCCTATAAGAATTCCTATTTCAAAGAACTCTCCTATTATAATTAGCAAACATAGCCTCACAAAGGTGTAATTAGCATTTTTTGGAAAATCTTCCACTACTGTTCTCTCTGACCAAGATAAATCAGCTGTCCAAAGAGTTTGCTCAAAGGAATTTTCCATTTTATGTACTCATTCTAAATGAAGAACTCAAATGACTCAGAAAATTAATATATACTGTCATTGTTTTTGTTGTGGTTGCTTTTTGTTGTTATAGGAAACAACAAAATATTAAAGCCTCCAGAATTCACTAATTAAGAGAGGAAATGTTTACCTCTGTTTTCCCTTATGGCCAAAACACTTGGATCCTGTTCAGAAAACAAAATAAAATTAAAAATAGTTAATGTTAATGAGTAAATCACCTTATATACAGTACATAGACATGTTCTGGTTCAAAAAACCACCTGAGAGAGATAATGAGGAATCCTAAATGAGTTTATTCACTAAATCATCATAGCAAATATTCATCCATCCTACTGTTTTGCCCCAGTGTTAAGTACTTTTTATTTGATCTTTTTATTCTGAGTGCTAAAATTCTCTAACCTAAGGTCCTCCAGATGAACCAACTCCCAGAAATATTGGCAACAACTAAATGGGTTGGGGATTTACATAGGGAAATCTACATATCTGGAAGAACATTGCTAAAATTATTTATCTACAGAGTTTGGCTTGATTTTTTACTCTACCCATTTATGCAACTCGGGCAGGCTAGCAGTTTGACCTCTCAATGTAAACTCAGAGGTAATTTCTAATATCTTAAGTAAACACATTTCCAGATAGGTTTTTTAATTATCTCCTGGGCAAGGGGCATTTCCTTTGATCAGACTTTTTAAATAGATCCTTTCTGAGGGTCTGCCTCAAGTTCCATTTGTTCTGCTAATGCTAATGCCTTAAAGTTCACCCATACACGACATCTATCATGCAGGTCAAGTTAGTGACGATTGAGGGAATATTCCCCTTTCTATCTTGTTATGGCCATAAATTACCAATCACCTAATCTTAAATTATTCCATTAGCTGGTCTGGGCTTACACACTGCACTAAATCATAATGTGATTTATTTTGAACTCAGCATCATGCTGGAACCACCGATTATCACGAATATGAAAGATTCCAAATGGATTGAGCTTCAGAAACTTAAGCTTTCACCTTATACACATATTAATCAGTGTCTTACTTGTCTTGGAGTGGCACAGATATCTATGGAGATAGGTAAATAAACTCACCTTCTCTGAAAAAAGATAAAAAGAACAAATGTTCCTTTGCAGAGATCAAAATATTTCAAGAACGTAAGTGGATAGAATGCAACATACCATTACTGTAGTTAAAAGGGAGGAGAAGGGCAGCTGCAATAGCATCTCTTGTCCCATATTCGCATACATTGAATTCCACTCTTATCATTTTCATCTATTTGGTTCTAATGTTAAAATTCAAGCTTGCGGTTTCTGAACTTTCAGACTCTTACTTCTTACCTTCTGGATTTTGGGCTGCATGCGAGATGGACAAGGCGGTAGCTGATTCAGGGCTGCAGTGATTTCCTGGGATTCCACAGCAGCCAAAGCATTGCAAATGGCCTTGACAGACTGGACTACCCGCTCTGCTTTCAGTTGGAAATCTCCCTGGATGAATAATTGAAACATTGAAAAGAGTAAGCTACAATGATGTTATTTATATCTTTGCATTAGCACACGGCTTGGGAGCCTGACAATCATTAAGATCTAGCCGGCATGGGTGTGGAATTCAAGTATTTCCTTTCCTTTGATAATCAGTGGGAAATTTCTTCCCAAAAGCAACAGCAAGAACGTCTTCAGAGCAGGAGACCTTGGCAAAGGTGTCAAAACCAAAGAGAGAAACTTTTATTTTTCTCTCTTCCAATTCTCAGAAATGAAAGCACTAAATGAAGTTTGCCTGAGCCAAGGAGGGCGGGAAGGAGTGAAATAGGTAAGTTTCTGTTTGGAGTTTTCGATGTAGTGCTATCTATCTATAGCTAGTTAAATCAAGGATGTTGTATTTATTGGAAATATATATACATTATTTACCTAAAAGCACAACCACAGTAAACATTCTAATTTAGAAAAGAAGAGTCTGTTCCTTTTTCTCACCTGACAAATCCTATTGAGCTATTGTGAGCTTTAGCACAGATATATATAATAAAAGACACACACACACACACACATATATACACGCATACATATGTATCAGTTTCTACAAATCAAAAACAATAACTCAGTTAAACTTGAAATGGTCCTTTTTTTTTCTCCACCATCTAAACTTGTGGAAAAATTATTACCATCTTTTCTGTCTTAAATTCAAATATGGCTTCAAATATGTTTTTAATGTATTTCAACATTAAAGTCATACTTAATTTAAAAGGAAAAAGGTAGCATCATGTGACTTCCAAATTCTACATGAAGGAATTTTGTGTGTTTCAATTCCTTCATGTAGAATTTGGAAGACATTTGATACTATTAACATGTTCCACCAATATAAAGTAATTCAAGTGATTGCTCCAGAAGGCATAGAAAGAATTGCCACTAAGGGGCACTGTTGTTTACTGCACCTATTGCCTGCAAAATGCAGGTATTTATTGGATAAGAGTCCTGAGAAGGTTCTGTTGCATATAGTCTTGCAGAAGATGCGGAAGAAAGATCTACAATTCTCTTCCTTCACTGGACAGCACTTGAAGAAATGGGATTCCATAAAGCAAAACCGGAAAGAAAGGGATAGATGTGTATCAAACAGGAAAAATAAGATGCAAAGTGTAAAAATTGTGCTCTGTGGAAACTAGAATCGCAGAAACAATTTCTGTGATTTCTATATGTACATTCATCTATAAAAGTATTATTTTTCCTTTTTTACGGAGGACTTAACAACTCAATCTTTTACGAACTCAAATATGAATTGGTTAGGATTTTATATGTGTTTGAAATTATTTGTTTATGAATAATCTGTAAAACAGAATAAGAAATATTTAAACTCCCTATGTTTCTCTCATTCTCATATATACAACTTACACAAAAGCTGCATAATATTTGTCTCAAGAAGTTTATCAATTGTTTCTTTCTTAGATTGGATAGAAGGATAGATTAAACAAATAAGCTTAAACTTTACCTTATTTTGCACTATATTTTATTTTCCCTTTGATAAAATCAAATTCCCTTTGATTTTTTTTCCTTCACCATGTACACATTTCTTTATAAAACCACCAACTCTTTATTTATCTAATGATGCAGGTTCTGACATCAAACATTTTGAGAATAGAAATACATTACATAATTATAGTGATACAATCATGATAGGTCCACTAATGGGAGAAGATGGCAGGGAAGTAACAGGTAGCCATGAGAAAGCAGGAATTGCTTAAATGCACCTATCTTTACAAAAAAAAAGTAGGGGAGGAGATTAACCAATCAAAAGCAATACCATAGAAGACAGAATAGGAATGCAAGTCAAAATAGGCAACAAAATGATAAGAGAGTATCTATCCACTCTAGATGAGTTCAGATCGCCAGGACCAGATGGATTGTATCCCAGGATTCTGATGGATCTGGCAGACGTGATCTCAGAACCACTAAACCAAATGTTTCAAAATTCCTGGAGCAACGGGAAACTATCAGAGAACTGCAAAAAAGCTCATATGGTTCCAATCTTCAAAAAGGGGGGAAATGGATCCAGGAAACTACAGATTAATTAGCCTGACATCAATACCTGGGAAAATCCTGGAAAAGATAATTAAGCAACAAATCTGGGAACATTTAGAAATGAGCAAAGCTATTACTAAAAGCCAATATGGGTTTGTTAAAAACAGATCATGCCAGACAAATCTTATTGCATTATTTGACAAAGTGACTAAATTAGTGGATGCTGTGGACATAGTTTAGACTTCAGTAAGGCATTTAACAAAGTAGACCACAGCCTACTTCTTGGTAAGACAGAAAAATGTGGGATAGACAGCATCAGCACTAGAAGATTCACAACTGGCTGACCAGTTGTGTTTATTCAGTGTGTAGTCCTCAATGGAACTATATCTAAATGGAAGGTACCTCACGGTTCTGTCTTTAACCTATTCATAAATTATTTAATGGGATAAAAGGGGAACTCATCAAATTTATAGACAACATCAAATGGGGCAACAGCCAACAGTTTAGAAGATAGGTTCAAAATCAGAAGGATCTTGACATATTTGAACACTGGGCCCTATCAAACAAAATGTAATTCAGTGGCGAAAAAAGGTCTTATATTTAGGCAAATCCCCACCCCCACCCCAAATATACAAATATAGAATAGATGATACCTGGTTCAACATCAGTATCTGTGAGAGGGATCTAGGTATCCTAGTGGACAACCATTTAAGTATGAGCCAGCAGTGTTGTGCAACTGCCAAAAAAGCCAATGCAGTACAGCCAATGCATCTACAGACAGCTAGTATCAAGATCAAGATCACATGAAGCCATAGTACCACTTTATAATGCATTAATAAGACCACACTTGAAATACTTCATCCAGTTCTGGTCACCATGAAACACCATGATACAAAAAATATGTTGACTCATTCAGAAAGAGTACAGAGAAGAGCAACAAAGATGAATAGGGACCTGGGGGCTAAACTGGATGGTGAACAGTTGCAGGAATTAGGATGTCTACTCTAGCAAAGAGGGATGACATGGTAGAGTTACTTGAGAGGCTGTCACAGAGAAGAGGGGGTCAACCTATTCTCCAAAACATCTGAGGGCAGGACAACATGGACAATTATTAAAGAATGATACAATTTAGAATTAAAGAGAAATTTCCTGACAGTAACAACAATTAATCACTGGAACAACTGCCTCTAAAATTTGTGGGTCACATGAGGTTTTCAAGAACAGATTGGACAACCATTTATCCATAATGGTATAGATCTCCTACTCAAGCAGTTGGACTAGAAGTCCTTCAAGGTCCTTTCCAATTCTGTTATTTCTGACATCGTGAAATCTTTAAGATACAAATTTTGTCAGTGCAAGCTTATTTATTTATTTATTTTATTTGTTTGTTTAAATTTCTATACCGCCCTTCTCCAAATAGGACTCAGGGCGGTGCACAGCCTAAGTAAAAACAAAGCATACAAAATTTAAAAAACAGTATTAAAATAATTAAATATTCTGGCCGTAAATTAAAACAACCCAATTTAAAATCAATTTAAAATTTAGCTCAAGCCAGCCCAGCTAGTTGAAATAAATAGGTTTTCAGGGCCCGACGAAAAATCCGGAGGTCTGTTATTATACGTAACTCTGGGGGAAGGTTATTCCAGAGGGTGGGCGCCGTCACAGAGAAGGCTCTCCCCCTGGGGGTCGCCAGCCGACATTGTCTGGCGGACGGCACCCTGAGGAGGCCCACTCTGTGCGAGCGTACTGGCCGGTGGGAGGCTATTGGTGGCAGTAGGCGGTCTCGTAAGTACCCCGGCCCTAAGCCATGGAGCGCTTTAAAGGTGGTCACCAACACCTTGAAGCGCACCCGGAAGACCACCGGGAGCCAGTGCAGCTCGCGCAGGAGAGGTGTCACATGGGAGCGCCTCGTCGCCCCCATAATCCCCCACGCGGCCGCGTTCTGGACCAGCTGGAGCCTCCGGGTGCACCCCAGGGGGAGCCCCATGTAGAGAGCATTGCAGTAGTCCAGGCGGGAAGTGACTAGTGCCTGAGTGACTGTGCGTAGAGAGTCCCGATCTAGAAAGGGGCGCAACTGGCGTATCAGGCGAACCTGATAAAAAGCCCCCCTGGCCACGGCCGTCAAATGGTCTTCTAGAGACAGCCGTGCGTCCAGGAGGATGCTCAAGTTGCGAGCCCTCTCCGTGGGGGCGAGTGATTCGCCCCCAATAGCCAGCGATGGCGTCAGCTGGCTATATCGGGACGCTGGAAGCCACAGCCACTCGGTCTTGGAGGGGTTGAGTCGGAGCCTGTTTCTCCCCATCCAGGCCCGCACGGCCTCCAGGCACTGGGACATCACTTCAAGGGCATTGTTGGGGTGGCCTGGGGTGGAGATGTACAGCTGGGTGTCATCAGCGTACTGATGGAACTCCACCCCGAAGCCACGGATGATCTCACCCAGCGGCTTTACATAAATGTTGAACAGAAGGGGTGAGAGGACCGACCCTTGTGGCACCCCACAAGCAAGGTGCCTCGGGGTCGACCGCTGCCCCCCTGTCAACACAGATTGCGACCGGTCAGAGAGGTAGGAGGAGAACCACCGCAGAATGGTGCCCCCCACCCCCAACCCCGCCAACCGGTGCAACATGATACCATGGTCGATGGTATCAAAAGCCGCTGAGAGGTCTAACAGGACCAGGATAGAGGAGCAACCCCTATCCCGAGCCCTCCAGAGATCATCCACCAACGCGACCAATGCCGTTTCCGTGCTGTGCCCAGGCCGGAAGCTGGACTGGAGCGGGTCTAGATAGACAGTTTCATCCAGGTACCGGGGAAGCTGTTGCGCTACCACACTCTCAACAACCTTCGCAACGAAGCGAAGGTTGGAGACTGGACGATAGTTAGCCAAAACAGCCAGATCCAGAGAGGGCTTCTTGAGGAGGGGCCTCACAACCGCTTCTTTCAAAGCGGCTGGCAGGACCCCCTCACTCAAAGAAGCATTAACAATCTTCTGGAGCCAGCCTCGTGTCACCTCCCGGGAAGCCAGTACCAACCAGGAGGGACACGGGTCCAATAAACATGTGGTCGCGTTCAGCCGTCCCAGGACCCTGTCCATGTCCTCGGGAGCCACAGGATCGAACTCCCCCCTTATGAAGTAAGTCCCACTCAATTGAGTGGAGATTTATTCTATACAGTTCTTTATAGTTCTGTAAATTCTTAAATTATAGATTCTGAAACAGGAAGAGTCAAAGGAAATGCTAGCTTCAAAGGATCTGCCACTCTAAGCTCTTGTTCTTTGTTCTTCTTCAATTCCTCTTTCCA